AACAGAAAGAATGTGATTATTTTCGAAAGGTCAACTGTATATTCTACTCATGAAGTTCATGTCCCGATTGCTGAGCATTTTATTTACTTTTAATAGAGGTCAGTAGAAATTCAAACTGTTGACCTTAATTAACGAGACCGTTGAAAGCAACATGTACCCTCGGATCATACTAATCTAAGCATCCTATCAAATCTATAGCAACGAAATGATATCGAATTTCCTTGGGTTTGTTTAATTAACATTTTGAATATCAATAAACTACTGACAGACGCAATTTTGACTTCCGGGGTCTAAATAAAGATAGTAACATATACGTTTAATGCTCACGTGGACATTGAACATGTTGGAGGAAGGCCCGTATATCATAGGGACATCCCACATGACCGCCACCTGGTAGCCAGAATTTTCGATCGCGTATGTAAAAACGCCTGCCGTCCCGAAAGTAGCGTCTGTTAGATAAGGAAATGCTATTATTAATAAACACATACATGTATGTATATATAATACAACTGATTTAGTATTGCAGGAGACGGCGAAACGATAATGAAGTTTTTTTTAATGTTTTGCCATGAACGAACGCTTAAGGATGTTCTTTTGTTCCGTCGCTTCTCAAGATTTAAAAGCAACTGAAGGAAGAGACGAATAATTATTTTACGTTTTTTTTCATTTCGTCGCTCCCACTTGACTGAATTGTATTCCTTCACGTTCCTGTATCTCAAGGAGACGGAACAAATCATCGCCAAGCTAACCATCGTCATGTTGCCTCCAACAACGTGAAGATAAGCCACGCCTACTACATTAGTATCATGTCTTTTTGTTGAAGGCACAACGCGCTGTCGTTACTTGGTTCCGTCGCCTTACACAACACGAAAGTGATAAAACGAAAGTAGGAAGTACTTGGCTACAAAATGTTATCTAAAGCATGCGCAGAACAGTACCCACAGTCTAATGAAATTATGAGTAGAGGGGTAGACGACTCCCCTAGCAAAAAATGAATGCGATCGCCTGATAACAACAGAACGAATAAGGACAGACAAGAATAACAATTTTTGTATAAGCATAAAAGAAATCAAGAGTAAAAACACTCACAATGCGTTTTCTCAAAAATAAACACTCCGCCGTCTCCTGGGAGGATTTCCCTTGGCAGTGGTTCCCGGAGAACGCCATGCGACAGATACCACTCTGGGTTGACTAATTTCCGGTTTCCCATGTTAGAAAACCCTACCACACAGACACGTGACAAGTCCACTTGTGAAGCGACACCGGACAGCAGTTTGAATCCCACTCCGGCCGCCGACAATACACCAACGACTATGGAAACAAAGAGGTATATGATAGCAAATGTTTTCCTTACTTCTAACCTTCAGCCATATAAACTGTCAAATTCAGTACGTTAGCTTAGCGAAAATAACTTTTTTTTTTCAACTGAATTTCATCCAAAAGACCGTTCATGCTACAATATAATGTCGTCGAAACGGATCGCTACAAAATGGGTAAGGCAAAACCAGTTGTTAATTTTGCATTTAATTTAACAAGGATAAGAGACTGAAACATTTTTTTTTCACAATTACCAGAATTATATTTCAATGAATGATAAATACAACATTTAAATAGGAAAAATAAATAAAAAAGTTTTCTCTATATACTTTTGACTTCTAAAACATAAACATAGATGTGACACTATTGTGGAAGCCTTGCTATCCGTTGATGACATGCTGTGAATATAGTTTAGTGCTGTTGTAGAATACGATAGTCCATTGTACTTCCCACATGTCTTCCAGAGGCAACACCATGTGACAACGGTAGTGCCCTTCACAAATGCATTACTAGTATGGTACGTCATGTAATTTCAAATATGGGCATGAACATAAAATGGACACATTTTGTATCTAAGTAAAATCACTCCATTCATAATAGGGGAGGTTACTCTCAAGGAAGGGACTTTATACAAATGTACTTTATAAAGATCCAATCAACGTCCTGGAATTTAAGACGTGATATCTAATTTACATTAAATGATTAAATGAAACAAAATGATTACCTCGCTTGCTGGGAACTCCACTCTTGGTTATATTTCGGAAAGCCTCATTATGGGTGTAAAGGTGCTCCACGTCTACTGTTTTCGTTTCGGCCTCTCTTGCCTCTCGTTCAAAGTCCAACGACAATACACATGTCAGATGGACTCCTCTACATCAACACAGAAATAAAATATTAGAATAATTCTGTGACAAGTGTCAACTCTCAAACAATTTTTTATTTGTTGTTGTTGTTAATTTGCAGTGTCTATAGAACGTCATGCGGATCGCTTCCTATCAGTGAACGTCTTGTTACATTTTTATAATAAGGTAGTATAGTGTCGTGACCTGAACATGTGTTATATACAAGGATAGTGTTTCACTCAAACTGCGGTTTTAGTTGAATGCACATGACATATATTCAAAGTATGACCAAAACATTGAAAGCTTCTCACAGTTTGCTAAAAAAAAAAAAAAAAAACAGGATTCAATATAAGTTTTAATGTCAAATTCGAACTAGCATAGTCTTTCCCAATGATCCTCGATCCCTGAAAAGATAGCATCCAACCAAATGATCCCGAGTTATAATAATCCTTTAAACCTTATATTAATAAGAGTAAACGCAAAATTATCCCGAGTTACCATGTACAATGCTTCATAATATATTTTATTCAGCGTAATGGTTTTGAGTGCTATTATTGCGTTGTGGATACAATCAAGTGACGTATACTTCAGAACTGGATGTAGTGCCCTAAGATTGCATGCTTCACGACATCTATATTTTCCCCAGCAAAATGCTTAAGTCATGCTTCGCAAAGTCAAAGCTTTAAATGGAATGCACCATAGTATGCGTGTATTCATTACCTGATATCAATGGAATGTACCACAGTATGCGTGTATTCATTACCTGATTTAAATGGAATGTAACACAGTATGCGTGTATTCATTATCTGATTTAAATGGAATGTACCATAGTATGCGTGTATTCATTACCTGATTTCAATGGAATGTACCACAGTATGCGTGTACTCATTACCTGATTTAAATGAAATGTAACACAGTATGCGTGTATTCATTACCTGATTTAAATGGAATGTACCACAGTAAACGTGTATTCATTATCTGACTTAAATGGACTGTACCATAGTATGCGTGTATTCATTATCTGATTTTAATGGAATGTACCATAGTATGCGTGTATTCATTACCTGATTTAAATGGAATGTAACACAGTATGCGTATACTCATTATCTGATTTGAATGGAATGTACCACAGTATACGTGTATTCATTATCTGATTTAAATGGAATGTAACACAGTATGCGTGTATTCATTATCTGATTTAAATGGAATGTAACACAGTATGCGTGTATCTATTACCTGATTTAAATGGAATGTAACACCGTATGTGTGTATTCATTACCTGATTTCAATGGAATGTAACACAGTATGCGCGTATTCATTATCTGATTTCAATGGATTGTACCACAGTATGCGTGTATTCATTACCTGATTTAAATGGAATGTAACACAGTATGCGCGTATTAATTATCTGATTTCAATGGATTGTACCACAGTATGCGTGTATTCAGTATCTGATTTAAATGGAATGAACCACAGTATGCGTGTATTCATTATCTGATTTAACTGGAATGTACCACAGTATACGTGGATTTATTATCTGATTTAAATGGAATGTAACACAGTATGCGCGTGTTCATTATCTGATTTCAATGGATTGTACCACAGTATGCGTGTATTCATTACCTGATTTAAATAGAATGTAACACAGTATGCGTGTATTCATTACCTGATTTAAATGGAATGTAACACCGTATGTGTGTATTCATTACCTGATTTAAATGGAATGTACCACAGTATGCGTGTATTCATTACCTGATTTAAATACATGTAGCATAACTTAAAGAAATTGAATACTTACAAGATAATTAGTACAATACACTTCATGTCGAACTGCTGGAAAATAAAACCTCGGAATGATAAGTTTACATGTTTACATATTGATAGCTCATAAATGCAAACATCCAGTTTCCATAATCCGAACTTTGGTAAAATCAAATCACGTCAATCTGGAGTGCCATTTATTCCGAGCTCCGATACAACGGTAACATTAACTAGTAGAACGCTATTCCAAGCTCTGTAATAAGAATGCTTGTAACAAGTTACAAGAATCTGAACGACGATTATTTAGGTTCGATAATCCTAGCTCTAGAAAACAATTTACTAGTACGTAGTTCTGTATCATGCTAACCCGATCTCTCTGACCTCAACCTAGTAAGCAAGTCACTTGCACCTGTATAACGGTATTCTTGTCTCTTTAATCATAACTCCAAGTAAACAAGCCATATTAATTATTAAGTATAACAATCCAATCTCTGTAATTCGAGCTGAGGTTAAAATATGTTAGAGTTGATGTTCGACAATCAAGTTTCAGGATAATCTGTACCAAAACAATGACCGTCTATCTGTAGCATTAAACGACGGTAACAATAAGTTCTTCCTTTGGGATATTGAGAGTTATAGATCTTGTAATCTGGTACATTAATTAACATAAGTACTTATCAAGTGTCTCAAATTATTTCGATCTAATTATATAAATTGAAAGACTACTATGAGATTATAATAACAACCGATTCTTTTATAATACTTGTACTTGTTGGGAGCAGAAGTTGGTATACCAAAGAAGTACATGTATGAAGTATTTTAGCTAAATCATTTGATATTGATAATTTTGAGTCCTGTGTTCCCTGGTAGCCATTCTTCAGAAAATCAATTGCATGCGTTATTAAGGCCGTTGACCTCTGGTATATAATGCATGCCTTATTGAATATAGTTAAATAAGGGATATACAAATGTACTTACCGTGGCGCCGGTGTCCTCCTTTCTTATCAAACCAACAGTCAATGTGGGCGTTGGTGACATAAGGCTATGTCTCAGTGTAGATAGATAAGGTACTAAGCTTTGTACAATGTCGGTATATGCTTTGCTATATTACTGCCAAATAACATTTCTGGTAGTGTTTTCTATATTCTTACTCGTGAAATAATTCATACCAATTATAAAAAGAAAACAAATATATTAAAAGCATATTCACATTTGTATGGTAGCACCATAAACATGTTTATAGATTTAATTTATTTAAAATTGTGATAAATTTATCAGTTGAGCGGTCACAAACAGATATTACTTAAGGACTTCCCACCCTTCGTAATACACATGTTTTTGTTGTCGTATTTTCGTGTCGTCATTTCCGTATTGCGTTTCGGGCATTTCAATGCCGTAGTGTACATAATAGTAACACCGGGTAAACAATAGTACACATGTGTAACGATAATATGTCAACACCCGATATCGAGACTTTACTGGGAAATGTGTAATCATATGTACTTCAAAATTAAAGCTTCCGATACAAAGACTTTTAGAAATTGACTAACGGGAAGACACTGACATGAGACCAGACGACAGGTTATACATGAACCGCATGGAACGGGACTGATGTGTGTTGTGTACTAACCTCACATGTACGTATCACGTGCTTACACCAGTCCACTAGCTCGAGGTCGTCACGATTTTTGCTGTCGAGCGAGTTACTCTCTGTTGAATTAATTATTTCTACATATGCAGTGCGCTATGTGAAAATAGCGTTTTGTAAACTATCAAGATCCCTATGAAATGCATGTGTAGGTGAACGTGAGAACGCCATACCATGCAAGCCTCTGGTTACATATGTACCTGACATGTATATATACAATTTGCTAGCGAGCTGTGGAATGATGTCCAAATTGTACATGAATGAAAGCAATATGGTTCCATAAAAAATGAATTGATGGCCTTTTGATGGCCTTTTTTTATTGTTTGTTTTCTTTCATAGACAAAAACATATACATTTTGTCGTAATACATAGTATTACAGCTACATGTGTACATAAACACAAACATGCATGCACTCATACTTATCATACATATATAACATACATACATACTTACATACATACATATATAGCAGACATACATAACATACATGAATACATATTTACATACATACGTACGTACGTACATACATACATACATACATACATACATACATACATACATACATACATACATACATACATACATACATACATACATACATACACACACGCATGCATGTATGTATACCTTCGCACATAGGCATGCATGTCCACATGCAGTCACACATACATATACGCATGCATGCATGCAAGCTACATGCATACACACATACATTCATTCATACGCATGTACACATGTTGTATATACATGCATACATACATACGTACATATGCATGCACGCACATATATATGCACCCACACACATACATAGTTTACATGCACATACGAACATACACATCTCAACATGCACGCACAAACAGATGTACGCACATATATATATACATACCCACAAAAATGCACACACATGTGCATATGCACACGTATACACACACATGCAGATGCGCTTGTATGCTGTAAGCATATTAGTCATTAAAGGTATACACTATACAATTTGACATTGAGATGTAATATTCTTATACAGTAAATAATTTTGCATTGTGAGATGTTTTACTTGTACAGTATATTATTAGGCATTGTGATATGTTATAGGTATATAGTAAACAATTTGGCCTGGTGATATGTTATAGTTATAAATTATACAATTTTAAATTGTGAGATGTTATACTTATACAGTAAATTTGTCATTTTGATACATGATACTTGAACAGTACATAATTTGGCTTTGTGATGTATATGTTATAGTTATCCAGTATACACTTTGGCATTGTAATACATTATAGGTACATGTATACAGTATAAACACTGGAATTGTGATATATCATAGTTACAGTACACAATTTGGAATTGTCATATGTTATACTTGTACAAGTTTACATTTTGACTTATAAACAGAGGAAAACAATAAAAATCTTTTTACTTTGTAAGAACTTGTTTGCATTTTATGCGGATATGCACACGTTTGTACACTGCTACACATACACATGTTTATAAACATATACTCACATACAGAGCTATACATGTTCATGTATAATATACATATTTACATATACATATAGACATGTACTATACTCAACAAATACATACATGTAGCTTCTCACAATCTATGGAGGTCAATGTTTTAGGAGTTGAACTATTTCAACAGTGTACATTATACCCTATTATACTCTTTTTGGGTGTATAAAACATATGTTTATTAGCAAGTTATTAGCACATGAATATATTAATGTGTATAAACGGCTAAACTTACATATAAAAAAGACAACAATATTTAATTGGTGTAATTCATGAGGGTATATGGGTGACCAACTGTTTGAGGTTCATTCACTTGGCTTTGGTTTTCAAATTATTTTGGTGGTTTGTTTTGGACTTAAGTAAATAGGTTTTTCAATTTATTCCAAGTTTTGTTGAATTTTTGGATTTGCATGTTTTTTTGTAACAAGGTCAATTCGTATGTAAATGTTTGAGTTAGGTATTCTTTCAATTCTATTATTGAGAGATTTCCTGTTTTCTTTGAATTACAGAATATGTAGTATTTAGTGTATGTAATGATGATGTTAGTTGGTTTTGTTTCATTAGTTTCGCCTGTGACCCCAAATAGAATTGTACTTTTATCAAGGTCAATATTTTTACCAAGTTTATTATGAATCCATGTTCTAAGATTTTCCCATAAGTGTTGGCTGTTGATGCAATTCCAAAATAAGTGTTCTATTTTTTCAGGGTGTGCTCTACAGAGTGAACAATTATCAGAGTCTTTAATACCAATTGTTTTTAAGTACGAATTAGTGGTAATAATCCGGTTCAGGATTTTATATTGGAACCATTGGATTTTTGTTTCTTTTGTGGTTTGGAAGGGTAATTGATATATTTGGTTAAAATTAATTGCACTAAATCTTTCATCTGATTTCCATTTTTGTTCTGCTGTATTTTTACATATATTTTGTTTATTCAATAGTGTGGTGTACATATCTTTACTTCCCTTAATGGATGTTAATATTATTTGTAGGTGAAATGGAATGAAGGGTTTGGGGTGGTTGTTCTCTGATTTTGTTAAGTCTATATTCAGTGTATGTGCAGCTTTTTTATTGATTCACAGATGCTTCTATATTGGAGAAAGTTGTTTGAGTGTATAGTGTATTTCTGTTTGAATTCTTCAAATGAGAGAAAAGTGTTATCATTTTGCAGAATGTCATTTACAAATTTTACTCCTTTGACTTGCATATCTTTATAGAAGAAAGAGGAATTATTTATCAAAATATTTGGGTTATACCATAGTGTTGATTCTTGAAAATTTGTAAGTGTTTTGGGAGGATTGTTTTCTGTGATGGTTACCCAAGCTTCAAGAACATCTTTCCAGAATTTATTGGTTGTTTTGATAAGTTTAAAGTGGTCTACATTGAATTGTGATATATTGTGTGTGCAAGTTATTTCCGCTTTAAACAAATTAATCCATTCTTTTGGTTTTGCTGTGAGAAGCCGTCTAATCCAAGTTGATTTGAGGCTAGTAATAAATTTATCTNGTTTTGCTGTGAGAAGCCGTCTAATCTAAGTTGATTTGAGGCTAGTAATAAATTTATCTAAGTCAATCATTTTTAATCCTCCGTCTTAATAATCTTTCATTAGAGTTTGTCTTTTAATTTTTTCTGTGTTTGACTGCCATATGAATTTGAAAAATGAAGTGTTTAAGTACTGAATTGTGTTTTTGCTCGGGTTAGGTATTGCAATGAACAGATGTGTTATTTTGGGGATTATGAGAGATTTAAGAACTACCATTCTTCCTATAGGAGTGATATTTCTTCTAGACCATTGTTTTAACATTAATTCTACCTCAGTTGTTTTGTTTTTGTAGTAAAGGTCTGTAATTTTGTCTAGTTCAACAGAGAAATGTATTCCCAATAGATTGAAATGTGTGACATTCCATTTCAGTTTCCATCGATGGTGATATTAGAGCATACTTTTCTAAAGTTTCCAAAGCGTCAGTGAATGATTTCTCAGAACCATCTAGAATAAAACTTGTGTCATCGGCGAACTGTGAGAGTTTGTGTTCTTTGTTATTTACATTTATACCTTTTATGTTTTTTTTTTGTTTTTTTACCAGAATAGCCAAGATTTCAGCCACAAGTAATAAAAGATAAGATGAAACCGGGTCCCCTTGACGACAGCCCCTTTTGATAGGGATAAAGTTTGATAGGAAGCCATTTTGTATTACTGCAGATGAGGTTTGATTACTAAAAGTTTTGATCCAATTTATAATGCTGTCTCCAAAGTTAAAAAATCTGAGTACTTCATATATGAAAGGCCATGAAACAGAGTCAAAAGCTTTCTCGAAATCAACAAGGATCAAAAGTCCAGGAATATTGTTTTCCTCTGTAAAATGCATCAAGTCATATATTAGTTTGGTGTTTTCACCTATATATCTACCAATCAGGAAGCCTGTTTGAGTTTCTGATAATAATAAGGCAAGTACTTTTTTCAATCTGTTGGCTATACATGCAGATGCTAGTTTGTATATTACATTTAATAGTGTTATAGGTCGCCAATTCTTCATATATTGTCTGGGCTTTTCACCTTTAGGGATACATGTGATAAGTCCCTGTCGCTGAGTTATTGAAAGTTTTTTTTTGTCATATCCTTGATTTAATGAGTTAAATATAAAAAGTTTTAAGTCTTGCCAAAAGAATTTGAAAAATTCTGCTGTGTAGCCATCAGACCCAGGTGATTAGTTATTTTTCATTTTTTTAGAGCTTTTAACAATTCGGATTCTGTAAGTTTTCCTTCAAGGTATATATTTTGAGAATTTTCTAACACAATATAATTGAGATCTTTTAAGTATTCGTCTAAATTTATTTGCTCAAGGTTTTCTGAGTGGCAATTATATAGATTTGTATAAAATAGTTCAATTTCTTTTAATATTTCTTTTTGTTTAACAACATGATCCCCATTAACTTTTTCTATCCATTGAACTGTTTAATTTGTAAAAAAATTGGATTCTAAACCACAGAAGTATTTTGTCACTTTTTCACCATCTTCTATCCATTGGACCTTTGATCTTATTGTTTACCCTTTCATCTTATCTTTTCTTATGTTTTCTAATTCTATCTGCTTGTTGTTTAGTGAGTTGAGATTTAAGGGAGTGCTTTTTTCAATAATGTTTATTTCTGTTATAAGTTCTTCTTCTTTCTTGTTTCTTGTCTTTTTCTTGTGTGTAGCATGAGATATAGTTACACCTCGGATTTCCAAAAGTAAGATTTTTAAAAATAGTTGATCATCTATAATATATGGAGTTTCAATATCTGTTGGGGCATTTAAAAAGTTTGGGTTGGTATATTGATCTTTCACATTTTGTATGGTATTCTTTACTTTTTGTATATATTCAGTGTCATTTAGTAGGCTGTTCCAGGTTCCTCTACCAATATCAAAGTTGTTAAATTTTAGTTCTAATGTGATCAGAGAGTGGTCGGTCCTGTATCCAGCTTTGATGTGTGTTTTTTTGTTAAGTTAAAAATGTTTTCACATTTTAAAGAATAGTCTAGTCTTGCTTGCTTTACAGGGTTTCTTCTTCTCCATGTGTAACGTTTGGAGTCTGGGTGATTCAACCTAAAGCAATCTACTAAATTGTATGAATCTATGTAATTTAAAAGCTTTGTTTTTGCATGTGGATTATTAACTTTATTGTAATTATTTGTATCTTCAGATTGATTTAGAGCAAGGTTGAAATCACCACATATTATATATTCAACATTTTGAAGTTCGTCAAGAACTTAAGTCAAATTTTCATAAAAATCAGGATTGTCTGTATTTGGACCATAGAGTGTTACTAGAGTAAGTCTTTGTTTTTTTCAATAGTGATATCAAGTGCAAGCAAATTTCCTGTATCGCCTTTTACCATTTTGTGTATTTCAAATTCAAAATTATTGTTTAACATAATACTGACACCCCTTTCATTTGACTGGTGTGAATTAAATAAACAGGTGTATCTCCATTCTGACATGATGCGGTTTTCTTTATCATTAGTGAAATGTGTATCCTGTAGACATATCATGCTAAAATCGCTGTAGTTTGACTTCAAATAATTAAAAACCTCAGATCTTTTTTCTTTTGAACACAAACCCCGTCAGTTCACCGATGCGATTTTGACATTACCTGACTGAGTCATAGACACTTCTGTTCAATGTTCTTAGTTTCAGTTTGGTCACCCACTGTGTCTTATAATAAACATGTATGAATGTGTAAGCTGTTGAAGGTATTCGATTAGATTCACAATCAATGTTGTTAAAGTTATTTTTGTTAGAGTTAGAATTGGGAAAAGGGACGAGACAGTACGATACAAAAGATACGATATGAAGTAATAATTACCTTCCATCTTGGTTTCCCAACCCGCCACGTGGTTGACTATATCTCAATGTCGCTGGACTGGTCAGGCAGGAGAGATATAGCTCACAACGCTAGTAATACTAGTAAATAAGTATCTGTCCCGGTGCCCAACAATATGCGAGGTCACCGAGAAACTGTCACTACTATAAGTAGAGCAGACTGTAGGAATGAAGGAGTACAATGGCTACAATATGCAGAGCACCATAAACCGTCCGTACAGTCTGGAATCCTGGAAGGAAGAGAGTTGTGGGCCAGGTATATTCACCCAAGCATCACGGGATCTGCTACGCCTCACATCCGGTGAAAGCCCGGATGACGTAATGTAAACAGACCGTCGACACAACATTCCTCCCCACCTTATAATGAAAGTCCTTTGTTCTGGGAGATCCTGAATTGGAGAATATCCTGACCCTTAGTTCAAGTTCCCACAAGCTATAAGCCTGTGTTTTCCACATGTTCTATTACTGGTTGTTGCTCCATGAAACACAGAGTCAAGGCCCAGCCTCTTTAAGTCGTCTGGAGTATAGGTACAGGGTAGCACTATAAGCACAAACCTGGCCTAAAAGACCAGATACTCCCGACCCTAGATGTTATAAAATAACCTACACGCGTCGATACAGTCGTCGGGCGTTCTGGACAGATGTAGCCAGCAGTGATTCCGGGTTCATCTTGCAGTAACGTGCTAGAGACGACGCTGTCCGGAACAGTTGGTTTGGTGCGGAGCACTTGGTTCCAGGTCTGGCAAAATATGGAGCGTCCGTCTCTAACAGTACTCTTTCAGAGTTGATTCCCCTCACGGCTTGGGACTGCTGGTTGTTGAACTTAGCAGCCATACTGGTGAATCCGAAGTACAGCTGTGAGAAGGCACTGGTCACCTGGTCACGAACATATGAATCTCCACTGAAACAATGGAGATGTATTCTCTGGTCAGGACGCACAGCCTTCTTCACATAATAGAGCAGAAGTAGATAGGCCTCCGCTCCGCTGTCTCCGGTGATTCCTCTACAGTGTAATACCAGGACATGCCTGGGTTCCACAAGTTGCAGAATCTTCTCCAGCATAACTGACTGCTGAGCCCACTGCTCCCTAGGGACAGAATGGTCCAGCCCAATCTCGCCGACTGCTCCGACACGAGGCAGAAGGATAAGTTGACGTAGCTCCTGGACAACGCGGTTGAACTGCTCCTGCGAGTACTGGTGCTTCGGATGTACCCCCACTGCGACCTCCATGTCCTCTGGTAGTGTAGCCAGATGCTCCTTAGTTGGATAGGTAACGGGGTCACAGTAACAGGCACAGGTTCCAACAACCTCAATCTCCTTTCCCGGTTCCATTGGACTGCGTGCGAGCAATGACTGGAAGGTAGTATCCTTTGGTAAACCCATTGCACGCAGTGTCCGGTCGAGGTGGAAATGAGAGTCAAATGCACGGGGCCTGGCCCGTGCCACCTCCTCAGGAATTGGAAACTGAGTTCTCCAGTACTCACGTTCACTCGAGGTCATCCTTGCCAACATCAACATAACCGCCTTCCAGTGGATAAGGGCCGCTATAGAATTTACCGGGTCCACTGTATACTTGACTTGGACCGGCTCACCCAGATAGCTACTGAACGCCCTCATAGCCACCGTCTGACTGTCAGTGATGTTGACACCTTCCTTCGTTGTCAACAAGTGCTGCATATCCACGAATTCTCGAAGGTCCCCAAGATGTCCCACTGGCCTCCGGAGGAGCCAAACAGCAGCCTGCATGAGTGCAGCCTCTCTGCCTCGCAATTTCCTGACTGCCAGGGTCCACATGTTCGCTGAATATTCCAGGTATGTGTTCCCGGAATGCATGGAGGCGAACATAGCTAAAATCTCCCTGACAATCAGGAACAAGGCATTTCCTCCTCACCGACAAAGCCCCCTCAGCCGAGGACCCACCCGAGCACTCAACCACCAAACCTCCAGGAGCCGCCTCAGTGGAGGAGACCGTCCGGGTGAACGCTCTACCTCCTCCGAGGGATATCCTCTTTGATTGAGGACCCTCCGGCTGACTGATTGGACGCTTCCTGGTGGCGCCCGGGTCAGCCCGCACCTTTCCACTAAGGGGACTATGACGGAGAGAGCTGTAATGCTTCCTTGGACTCCTCCTCGGACCCTCGGGACGCTCCTCTCGCGATAGTCGCTCAGCCACCGTGGGTTTAGCCTCAGAGGAGGCACGATACGCACCTCTCATCAGAGTCTCGCCCGCGGCAGCATAACGACTTGATGTGACTCGTGTGTCCGGCTTCCACGGGGGNNNNGGGGGCTGGCTTCCTCTTGGGAAGTGGTGCTGGCAACTTCTGGGGTACCGGTGATGTCAATATCTGTGGTACCGGCTCCGGCTCTGGGTGCCCAAGATCAATGTGAATTGGGTCTGCTCCCAGATCCAGTGCATCATCCTCCATTCTCACCACCTCAGGGTTCCGTGACGAAACCTCCTCCACCCTCCGTGCCAAGCTGGGATCCGTGGACAACCGTATGTCATGATACATAGCCCTGGACTCCACGGCAATAGGTCCTGGTCTGTTACGCCTACCGATACGATAGACGTTAGCAGCAATCCAGTTGTGCGACTGTAGCTGACAGACGTTCAGGGTCTCCGCGCAAGACTTGAGCCATGAATCACGACGGTACTGCTGTGATCCCCTCTTGGTGTTCCCCTTAGCCAAATCGAACATCGCGATAAGTAGGGCCTTCATCCTAGAATCCGACACCTGAGCCAAACCCAGTCGCTCGACGAACTCGCGGGCTGGTTGTTACAACTGGCCCTTATCTATAAGATGCGAGACCTCATCAGCAAACGACTGGTTCCGTCCAGATGCCATACCTGCAACATACCAGAGCAAAACACATGATTAGTTACTGCTACAACCACTGCATTTGTATTTGTCTATCTCAAGCGCGTCTGTAGCAGTCACGTTGACGCACGATCCGTGGAACCATTCCTGACAGTAGTCGCATTGAATCATAAATCGACCCTGCCAAGCTTTCCTGCAAATGCAGTAGACTTCTGTGCTCTGGTCAGACGAATCCAAATCATCCTTCTCCCCCTGTGTTTTATATATGTTGATCCACGCCGGGAGCTTTCTATCCCTACATGGCATTTTCCGGTCATGATTGGTGATAAACACAGAGTTTCGTAGTTTGATCTGGTACAGGTATGCGGATAACTTTTTGATTATAACTCCCGGACCTTTCCAGGGAGAACACAATTTCTTGCATTTTCCCTTTACGACGGCTGAATCCAGCAAATACACAACATCCCCTTCGGCGTATGGTCTCAGTAGGACTTTAAGGTCATAATACCGCTTCATACGGCGTAGAGATGTTTTCAGCGTATTTCTGGCGACGGTGTGAGCTTCCTGGATATTTCCCATTAGGTTGGATACTGTTGACCGAAGATCGGATAGCTCCCGCGATCTGTTGGACATACTCATCCCACTTGTTTTGGGATTTGCCAAGGAAACAGCGTACGGCGTCCATAAGCGTTCGGTTATACCGTTCCACTTGTCCATTTGATGAAGGGCGATAAGGCGTTGTACGCGCCTTGTGAATCTGTAACGCCCGGTACAATGATTCAAAGAGTTTGCTCTCAAAATTGCGCCCCTGGTCCGAGAAGATTTGGAACGGATATCCAAACCGAGTAAAAACCCATCAATTGCCGCTTTCGCTGTCCCCTCAGCTTTTTGTGAAGGCAATGGAACACACTCTACTCACTTGGTGAACTGGTCTACCATCATTAGACAATGTTCATTTCCGCTTGCCGTTTTGGGTAAGGGGCCAAGAAAGTCTATGTGCACACGTTCCATGGGGGCACCCGCATGATACTGCGTCAGGGGAACCCTTTCGTAGCGTTTGTTTTTCTTGTTTCGGGTGCAAACTTCACACGTTGACACATAGGCCTCCACGTCCGTACCAAGGCGAACCCAAAAGAACTTCTCCTTCAATTTCGCCTTAGTCCTTGCCATTCCTTGATGAGCAGCTGCGGGTAGGTCATGATGCCACTGCATTGCCTTTTCCTTCAAGGACTGTGGAACTATAAGCGCCAAGTCCTTACTATCAGCTTTCTTCATGAACACCACACCGTCGATCAGGAGAAACAACTCCCGGTTCAACCAGTAATACTTAGCTTCAGGAGAAGCCAGGTTCCGTACCGTCCGTCAGGTACCTGATAATAAACTGCAATGCGTCATCTTTTCCCTGTTCGGTCTCAAGTTCACGATACGTAAACCCCCAACAAGATGGCGACCCAGCAGTTGCTTCCTGAGCTAGCTGGACGGTACACATATTCACATGAAACTGGCTGTCCTGAAACTCAATATCAAAACTTGATCCATCAACTCTAGGGTCCATCGATAAAGTGGACCAACTGTCTGGAGACAAAGCCTCCAGTACTGGCTCAGTTGTCAGCCGGCTGTCATGGCTACCACCATCAGGGTGTTCGTAGCCAAGAGTGACCTGGGAAACCGTGCTATCCTGATGTTTTCCCAAGCCCGGTTGACCCTCAAACTGAGAGGATTGGGTCTGACTGGCATGCATACCCTGAGGGTATACAAGAGAACGTAAACCACTCACGGAAAATTGACCCCTGGCATGAGGGTTAAGCATACTGTCCACAGAGGGCTCCGTACAGAAGTTCGCCTGACCTATAAGCTCAGGTCACTCCCTAGGAGTTACTCCCTCCGCCTGGCCTTGCGGGTTACGTTTCACTGTGGCCACATCAGTCCCAATGGACTGGAAACTCTGGTCCCCGCAAGGAGAACTGTCCGTCAGGTTCCTAACTTCATCCACTTCCATAGCAAACTCTCCCCACTGTTTGTCTGCACGCTGACAATAGCTACAGCCTCCACGGGGTAAGCTTTCTGGTCTGATCCCGGCAACATAGGATGGACACGGAGTCAACTCCTCAGGAAGTCGCGAAAGCGCGTCTGCATTCCCGTGTTTGGCCCCCACTCTGTGAGTCACAATCATATGGAATTGTGAAAGTTCTTCCATCCACCGTGTCAACTGTCCCTGTGGATCCTTGAACCGTAGCAACCATGTTAAACTAGAGTGGTCTGTCCTGACGGTAAACTGTCTACCTAGTAGGTAGTATTTAAACTGTCTTGTAAATCTCACTATACTGAGAAGTTCCTTCCGGGTAGTGCAATACCTCCTCTGCTCCGGGGTTAGAGAGAAACTACTATAAGCAATAACCTTCTACACCCCGTCTTGAACTTGACTTAGAACTGCCCAAATGGCGGTATCCGACGCGTCGGTGTCCAATATGAACGAGTCGACAGCGTTAGGTAGCGCCAATACAGGTGGTTCAGTCAACACCTTGCGTAAGGATTCAAAGGCGTCCTGCTGCACATCTCCCCAGTGGAACTTGTTTTTTCTTGTGAGACTATACAAGGGTTGAGCTAACTCGGCGAAACTTTTTACAAAAGTCCGGTGATAATTCACTAAGCCGAGAAACCTCTCTACCTCCTTCGTATTTCTAGGAACTGACCAGTTAGCTACTGTTCCGGTGTCCCGTTCTGACATGGCTATCTGGTTTTTACTTACCATGCGGCCCAGGAATTCTACCTCTGGTTGGAAAAAAAGACATTTTCTTGGTTTCAACTTCATGCCATGCTGTCTGAATCTTCCCAACGCGTCCTTCAGATTTCGGAGGTGCTCTTCAAAGTGATTCCCTAGAATTAAAATATCGTCTAAGAAGGCGAGTTCTGTTTTCCAGGTGAGACCTCTCAAAATCAGATTTACCACTCGGGAAAAAGTAGCAGGAGCGTTGGTAAGACCAAACCCCATTCTTACATGTTCAAACAGACCAAATTTCGTCAGGAACGCTGTTTTCTTTCTGTCCGATTCCTTAATCTTGACTTGCCAGTATGCGATATTGGCATCCAATTTCGAGAACCAGGTGTTACCGGACAGCGTATCCAGACAATCATCCACCAACGGCAAGGGGAAAGTATCCTTCACAGTCACATCATTAAGGGCCCGGTAATCAATGCACCAACGCATACTACCATCCTTTCGTCGGATGAGCACTGGTGCAGGGGCCCATTCGGACATGGATTCCTGTATGACACCGGCGTCCAGCATCTTTTTAAGATGCGCCTCCTCCTCACCAACAAATGAGGCCGGAGTCCTGCGCATGCGCTGTTTACAATGTAATTGGCTTAGCATCACCGGTGTCTACAGCATGTTCTATAGTCGTAAAACTTCCAAGGTCAAACTCATTCTTCGCAAACACATCCTCATATATATACAAATAAGTTCACGAAGATCGAGTTGTTGAGCCTCAGTCAAATGCTTGCTGGAATCCATGGTTAACTTCTGTAGATGTTCCGGTACTTCCCTCAACTGCACTTCCGGTTGTCCGATTTGGCAACAAGATGCGACCTTATCAGACTCGGTGTCTATGTCTGTACAGCCAACGCTCTCTTCTGTATGTCTATAAGACATATCAGGACTTATAAAATCCTGAACCTCAAAGGCGTCGGCTAGAAACTCCCCTTTTCTCACAGTTTTGTACTTGTCGGTCAGATTAACCAAACAGACCACCGGCTAGGTATTTGAACTCCGAACCACACTGGGTACTAACACATCTAGAGTGTTGCAAGATTCAATATAATAATCTTAAAGTTTTCCAGTTACCCTGACGACAGTATTGGGGGGCACCACCACTTTATTGGTTGCTGAAACCCTGGCTACAACCGGCCTATCACCAAAGAATTTTGTGTTCAACGATATTCTTTCCTCCCCTATAAGGAGAGTATCAGACCTCA